AAAAAGGTTAACACGATGATTAGAAATTAAGTACAAAGTAATTATCAAGATGGTTTTCAATTACATCAAATTGAAAATCATTGCAACATAAAGACAATAAAGTATTAAAGTCTTAGTGCTCAATGCTCACGAGTTTTATTATTCATTTATTTATTTATTTTTTTTGGAAAAACTTAGATTTCACAGTTTCACATTATACATTGGATTTCAAGCTCATGAACAGGTAAATTGAGCAAATTTAGGTTTAAAACTCAACACTAAACTATCTACTTCTGCACACAAGGAGTCCATCCCAAACTCAAACTCCAATGTTCGTGGCATGGATTGAACCCTTAATGTAATTGGAAGCAAATCTTATGTGAGCCTTCTCATCTACTAGACTGTTGAGATATAATACTATGAAAATATTATTCCTGGAAAATAACAAGCACAAGAACGAAAGGGAAAAGGGTTAGTTCGAGTTGTGTGAAACACACTTTCCTTATAACTTTATTTGCTACTTCCCTTTAGTGCTAGGAGTGTTGTAGCATATGTTCTCCATGATAAAACGAACTATGACTCAATGTTTGAGCACTCAAACAAATGAGCTTGGTGAACTAGAACACTGGTATAAATACATATATTTGAGGAGGAAGATGGGCAGGTTTCGAGAAAGAACGCTATAGATTTGAAGTGTTGTAAAATCTCTTGACACATCCAAGGTATATAGAGGTCGAATTCAATAGCATTTAATCATGACATTAACATTGATTTAAAAACTTGTAACCTTCGTAACAGACAAATGTTTGTTCTGAAAATTAATTTTAAAAATTAAAATTCAATAACATTTAATCATGACATTAACATTGGTTTAAAAAACCTGTAACCTTCACAACAGACAAATATTTATTCTAGAAATTAATTTTAAAAATTAAAATTACTTCGTTAAACCTTTACGAGCTCATTTTGAGATTTGATTTGCACACCCTCCTCCTAACGTGAGAGAGAGCATCTATGCTATATAATTTAACTTCCCTCTAAAAGGGACTTGTATGTTTAGTGGTGCAAATCCACATCTTTTTCCAATGTGGGACAAATTAAATGCTTTTTTCAAGTCTTTCCACCTTCATTTTCCAACTCAAATGAGTCTACTTTGAAAATCAATTTCTCACTCACCCTATCCGTTTTGAGCGTACAATACATTGATCTCTTCGTCTCAATATGAAGAACTCGCATCCACTTTAACCCGACGCAAATCAGAGGTGGACACCACATATATTTGTACCACAAAATCATGGTTGAAAAAATTGCTAGGCGCTCCTCGGGCGCTCAGGGGCGCCTAGCGCCTAGGGGCTTGTGTATTTTATTTTTTATTAAAACTTGATAATTATAAACTATTTAATACTTTAATAGTTATATTAAAATATTAAATATTAACCTAAAAACATCTAGATTTTGAACAATTTAGGGTTATATCGCTCAAAATGACGTCGTTTTGAGTGAAATAACCCATTTAAAAAAAGAAAGAAAAATAGCTAATCGGTTGATTAGGCGAACTAGTCGGGATTTTTGAAACAGTGAACAAAACAGACAATTACAATGTCATTTTATGCTATTTTTTCAAATAGACTATTTTTTCTAACCCCTTTTCGGTCAAACTCATGTCACAAGATTTTTCTAATGCAATTTATCTCTTATATGTGATTTTCATCGTATTACATAAGAGTGGAGTTTGACCAATGCAAACCCTCAAAGAGTGGTTACGAATTTTTCTTTTCACCCAAAATAAAAAAGAAAGTATTAAACACCTATATAAAAATAGTTTTTAATATTTTGAAAAGAATAATGCTATACACCCATAATTTTTTTTTTTTTCGAATGATATTGAGTCTATTACAAAACAATATATGTTCTATACTTTCTTTAACTATTGCAATCTAAAAAGTCAACACCCAATCACTGAGTTCGATCCTATGACGTTCCCTAATTTATTTTCCCTACATTAATAAAATTATTTGGGTAAATAAATCTAGTCGATTAAATCTATGAAGTGAGTACCACGAAAACGTGTGCTTAAGCAGGGGAATTGAGTACCATGGCATCTTTGATTATTAGGAATAATCACAAGATTATTGTAATCAATTATAATGAAAATGGCTCCCCATTTCTAAACCAATAACCATCCATGTCTTACCCTTAACCAGAAAGGAATTCTCTAATTTATATGCCGTAACATACTTGGACAACTAGGTTATAAGAATCCTACAAAATCTTTCCTTGGGAAACTAATATCTTCCATGTGACTCCATTGTATCTATTCCAAACAAGTATTGTAGGCATATGTTGCTCAAATAAGAATAGAGGTGAAACTTTGGAAGAATGACCAGGGATCGAGTCTCACCAGCGACAGTGTGGGAGTAACCTCTCAAAGTGAGTGGGGCTCCTTGTGCGCAGTGAGCACCGGTCTAGCCTCTATGGTTCATGTTCAGTTGAGTCACCATGATTTACATCCTCCCAAATGCTCTGTCGGGCTGGGGTGTGGGGGGCCCTTAGGGTTGGGGTTCAACCTTTTGGAAGAAGAATAAGGAAATTAATGGCCTTTAGGGTTGGGTTCAACCTTTTGAAAGAAAGAATAAGGAAATTAAACAGGCACTATTCATTAATTTTATACATAAAAAGGATCTAATTTATATCTTTTAAATGATACCTATATTAATTTATTTTTTAAACTAAATCTATAAGTATATAAAGTCATTTTAAATATAGAAAAGATATATAGAAAATGAACTATTTCAATTACAATATTTAAAATTGGTATCTTTTAGAGGTTAAACGAGACGGCCTAGTTGGACCGGGTCGAAGAAATATATAACTCATCAAGGAGCTAAACTGGCTCAACTCGGTGAATTGGGTTCGTTTTTACAGCTCTAAATGTGAGTACTCACTCTCAGTTTTTAATTTTAGTTCATATGATTTTGCTCGCATGATAAGCCCAACAACCCGAGGTTTAAGATTAGGGCCAACCTGAACCCGAAAATAAAATAATAAAATAACTAACTTGAAGTGATAAGTCAAACAGCCCGACAAGGCTAGCCTGAAACCGAGCGAGCTAGTCCGATTGATATCCCTAGCTCTAGCCCCCTCTAGGAGGGGTATTATTTTGATTTTAAATTTGAGGGAAAATGACGATTTTAATCCATTAATTATGCATAAATTATAGACCCAGTCCATAAATTGTTGCTCTATACAATTTTTTCCTTTAATTATGTTGAAAGTGGTTGATTCAATCCATTACTTATAAATTTTGTTACAATTAAAAATTTATTTGATTTTTCAAATTATTAGAGGACAAATTGGCCATTTTGTAAAAAAATTTCAAGTATAACAAAATAAGCTTTTCACATTGATAATTTCAAGTGAATGTTGGGTTTGAGTGAAGATGTCCTTTTTTTTTCTTTTTACATTTATCAGCTTATCAAAAAGTTAAATTTACCAAACACTTTCAAGCATAACAACTCTCCAGTTTTTAGCTCATAGCTTATAGTTTTTCAGGTTCCAGCTACCTTTCCAGCTAGGTTTGTCAAACATAGCCAAAGTAGCGTTCCAAAATAAGCTCTTATTTTAAACTACGAGCTTATTTTGAGAACATAAGCAAACAGAACTTATAACTTATTAGTAGCTTAAAATAAGTTATGCCAAATAGACTCTTATTACTTATTAGTTGTGCTTACTTCTTATTCATAAGATTCTTATTAATCGTTCAAATGTTATCATTTTTTCTAACAGGTCATGCTCACTTCTTGTCCATAAGCTATAGTTGACGTTGTAAATTTCGTCCCTAATGTTTTATTAGAAAAAATGACGAAATTTACAACACTAATTATAATTTAAGAATGAAAAGTAAGCACGACTAATAAGTAAGAACAAATCTAACAATTACAGGGCGTTTGGTTGGAGGGATTTTAAATTCCCTTCCCACTTAATTCCCACCTAATTCCAAAGGCCATTAAATTCCGTAGTTTAGTTGGAGGGAATTTGGAATTGCAATTCCTCCATTTTCATGGAATTAAAATCCCATGTCCCCCTGGTATTTTAATTCCTGGGAAAAAAAGATAGTGATGAGTCAAAATTACCTATTCCCTTTTTAACCTAAAATTAATGTTTAACAACAATAATGGATATTTTTGACTTTATACTACTTATTCCCTTTCAATTTCCATGTATACCAAACATTGGAATTGAAATTTCCAGTAATTCTATTCCTATCAACCAAACACTGAAATTTAAATTCCCACTTTATTCCCAGTAATTCAACTCCCATGGAATTACAATTCCTTTCCCACATAATTCCCCCCTCCAACCAAACGCCCTGTTACTTTATAACTTAGGGATGGAAAATTTTCCATATAATTTTTATACAAGTGAAATGTTGGGGAAAAGAATCTTTGACTTCCCATCATGTATATTTTTAACCGAATAAAAACATAAATTTACCATTTATAATTATGCAGATATGACAATTTTAAAGATATTTAGACTTTTTTTTATTTTTTATTTTTAAATTTTCTCTACTTTTCTGATTATCATCTTTCCTTCTATTGACACCATACTTTAACTTTCCTATACATATCAAAGTATGTGTACATATCTCACAACATACCGTAAAATAAGAAACGTAATGTAACAATTGACAATGCTTATGTTATATATTATATACTTAGTGTTTTATTTTTTTGTTGGAAACATATACTAGTACTAGTGTTAATATAGATTAAATTATTTATTTTCACATTGATGATTTAGATTTAATTATTATTGAAAAGTAATGTAAAGTTACTTATCTTTTGAAGAAATTCTTTCTTTTTTGACTAATAAATAAATTGAGAAGCATTGTAGTGATGAAATCCGATAATATTCCACGTCACATGGTGTCGGGTCGGGTTTGGAGGATGAATTCATGCACCCGCGGGTACTATAAAACCAATGTAACCGTCCATATTGAGCCGCTGTATTTCAGCAACAATTTTACTGTACGCATTTTGTTCGCACTCTTCTTCTTCGTCTTTCTTCTTCTTCTCTTTCATATTAACAACTCTTTCTCTTTCTCTCTCTATATATATGTGTGTTTATATAGGTACGCATTTGTATGTGATCACTTTGGGGTTCTCTTAGATTCTGCGGACGGAAATAATCTCCGGATAATCCGAATTCAAATCGGTTAAATAAATTTTTCCGAACGGGAGGAATACAATACGAGCGAAAATAATTAGTTATTGATTTGATTTTTCTTCTTTTTTAAAATAAAAATTTGAATTAGGGATTTTATTTTTGGTAGCGTGTGTGTATATATAAAGGGCTGCCTAGTGAGGTGTTTTTTTTTCTTGGAAATGAAGATGGGAGGTGGGATTGTTGGGTTTGAGGAGGTGGCCATGGCGGTGGTGGAAGAGGAGCGGGAGAGAAGGGAAGAAATGGGGGAGATTGCGGCGGCGCAGAAGAAGTATGCGGTGGTGGGCGGAGGGTTTCCGCAGGCGCAGCCGGGGAAGGTGGTGGTGGTGGGGTATGCTCTTACTTCTAAGAAAGTTAAGAGCTTTTTGCAGCCCAAGCTTGAAAGTTTAGCTAGGTATTTTTCTTTTTCCTGTTTTTTTTTTTTTTTTTTTTTTTTTTTTTTGGTTAAAGTTTGAAGTTGTCTATGATGTATGAACATTGCCAGTATTAAGTGCCTAAGCATGGATTTTTTCTTGTTAATGTGGAAATTTAAATTTATGGATTTTAAATTTTCTTCGTGAAGGCTCTAGAGTATATGTTTCCTTTACTCTGGAATTTGTTTGAATGCCAAGAAATTGCTTTTCTTTCTTTCAGAACTAATTTTCTGTACTTTTTTTGGGGGGCTATATTTTAATGCTTAAATACCATAAGTGGGGCTTACAGATTCTGGAGGGTACTTGATTTTCTTGAAACTTTTGCTGCTACTACTATGTCAATAGTCTACTGATTACTATTTGTAGAGGAAAGGGATGCTTGTTTTTTGCACAAAATACATTTTGAGTTGAGATTGGTTTTTTACCAAGAGGTAAAATGAATAGTAAATTAATGTATGGCTTTTGCTGAGTCATCATATATCTTCAACTTTTCATTTTTTTTTTTTTTTGAATATTCTAGGGGGTTATAATCTATTTTGTGATTGGCACAGAAAATAATAGATCATTGTGCTGATAAATCTTTCTAATGTTGCGAGTAATAAATCTTTCTAATATGAGAGTGGTTTTCTTGATAGAGTTAAGAAGATTTTTTTTTTTTTTTTTGAAAGTGAGTTAAGAAGATTACTTTTAAAAGATTTCGGATGAGAGATTGAATGTTTTACAAATTTGACACTACATCTGCAGCTGGCATATGTGAGGGACATTTGTTAGCTGGAATTACAATAATCATGAAGATATTTATTTATAGTTGGTATATGAAGATATAGAACGTTACCTGTCACTTTCGTTATTTTGGCTAAATTTTTTGAAACTCATTTTTCAAGTAGTAGATCACTATCAATGTAATGCGTGTGCCTGTATGAGATTATGATTTGATACACTAAAGTTTGTGTGTTTCTTCCACAATCAAGTGAATAACTGTGCTAAAACACAATGCAGGAACAAGGGAATACTTTTTGTTGCTATTGATGAAAGCAGACCCCTTTCAGATCAGGGTCCTTTTGATATTGTACTCCACAAGGTGAGTTGATTTAAGATTTTATACTCTTTTAGTCTTTACTAGTGAATATTTGCCTATTTGGGTTGCATCTCTTTAGGATCTGATTTAAAAGCCGGTTATTGTACATTCCTTGAAATATTGCTCTGGTATTCGTTGTTGTTTCCAAAAGGTTGAATCCCCAACCCCAAGGGCCCCACACGCTCCGGCCCGATAGAGCATCTGGGAGGATGTAAATCATGGTAATTCAGCTGAACACAGAGGCTAGACCTTTGCTTACTGCGCACAAGGATCTGCATAAGCATCTGTGAGACTCGATCCCGGGTCATTGTTCCCAAACTTCACCCCTGTGACCAACTGAGTTGCCCATGCGGGCTGCTCTGGTATTCTTGTATGCTATGTTAAGTGAAAAGAGTTGTGAATGTACCTAATGATTTATCTATGTGTTGATGCAGTTAACAGGAAACAAGTGGCAGCGTATACTAGAGGTTGGTTCCAGAAATAATTTTATTTTTGTATATATTTGTTGCAGTACCCTGTCTATAGTAATTGACAGTTTATGGGTCGTTAGGTTAAAGAATACAAGTTATGTAGGATACAGTATGATGCGAATTAGACTTGCATTGGATGTGACTGGTGGGCAAGTAGATGCGTTGTTGCTTAGAAACTTATCCATCTGACATAACTTGCGGACTGCTTGCTCTCTCCTGGTCATGAATCATAACTTGATAATTGAGGTCAAAGCCTCATGATTCCCACAAGTGAGGATCTTTCTTCATCATGGATGTGTTAGCTCATTTACAGGTTTTCTTAAATGTATTTTTCAAAGGATTCCTGTTTTGCTCTTTTTATTGGGATTCTTTAACTGATGTTTTCTATGATCACTACCCACATATCTGCTTAAGAGGAGAGAGCTAACTTTGGTTCCTAACACCCTGTCCTTTTTTAAATCTTGTTTTGTGGTCGAGGACCTTTTATTACTTGTCATTGTTGCTTATTGATTACTTTTAATAGTTCTTACTTCTAAACTTTTATTTTCTTTTTTGAAGGAATATAGGCAGACCCATCCAGATGTTACAGTCCTAGATCCTCCAGATGCGATACAGAATGTATATGATCGCCAATACATGCTTCAAGATGTTGTAGACTTGAATTTCTCAGATGGATATGGTAATCCTTTTAAATTCTCTATTTTTCTGTTTATTGCTTATGTGCAACTTCTCTTTCCATTAGAGACGTTAGTTTGGAAGATTGTGAATGTATAGTTGACTTTTTGAATCTGTTCTTCCATCTGTGCAGGTAAAGTTGATGTTCCTAGGCAGTTGGTTATTGAGTATGATCCTTCCTCCATTCCAGATGCAGTGACCAAAGCGGGGCTGAGATTACCTCTCGGTGAGTGTATTTGTCAGTTATTTTTTGCGAAATCTGATTATGTTTCTGTTCATTGCGTTATCTTTGTTGTTCTGCAGCAAAATTGTAATTCCATATTGTCTTTCTATGATTTCCGCCTTTCAGTCGCGAAGCCGTTAGTTGCAAAATCACATGAGTTATCGCTAGCCTATGATAAGCTATCCCTTCAGAAACTTGAACCACCGCTTGTTCTGCAAGAGTTTATCAACCATGGTATGCAGTTATAGTTTTTTTTTTTTTTTTTTTTTTTTTTTTTTTTTTTTTTGGGTTAGACCACGAGGTGTCCTGAGTAGACCCTAACTGTAGGAGGCACCTTTAAGCCCGTACCATACTCAGACTAATCCCCGTTTGCACCGGGCCGGCCCAATTAAGGGGCAAAGTGCTGGCCAGATTCGTTTTTCCATACAAGAGAGGGTTCGAACTCCCAAGCTCTCTTAAGGGACAAGGGTGCACGGCCACTCACGCCAACCAAGCTGGTTTGCAGTTATAGTTTATTACCTGCTCAAACTTGTGCTTTCCTTGTAGAGTATCGAACTGAATCCCAGTTTTTATTTTATCGTTTTTCAATTTGTTATCTGTAGGTGGTGTCATGTTTAAGGTTTATATTGTCGGAGAAGCAATTACGGTGGTCAGGAGATTCTCGCTACCCGATGTAGGTAGACGTGAGCTGTCAAAAAACGACGGTGTTTTTCGTTTTCCAAGGGTTTCTTGTGCAGCTGCTTCTGCAGATGAAGCAGATCTAGACCCGTGTGTTGCTGGTGCGTTTATCTTCTTTTCCTGTGAAGATGGTCCCACTTCATCTACGTTTTTGGTTTAGTTCTAGAATTTCTCGGGAGAATGTAATGAACTAAAATCTACAGTTGAGCTCTTTAATTTATAATCTATCACTGGCAATAACATGTTTTAGTCGTTTGTTAATTTTGTCTTCACAGAACTTCCCCCACGGCCCTTGCTCGAGAGACTTGCAAGGGAGCTGCGTCGACGACTGGTATTTGCTCTGCATATTTCGTTGTTTTTTTCAAAGTATTCGATAAATGGGGAAAACTTTTCTTTGGGCTCTTATTTGCTGGAATTCTTTACGTTTTGTTCTAGGGTCTTCGGCTCTTCAACCTGGATATGATTCGAGAAAATGGAACAAAGGACCGGTACTATGTCATAGATATCAATTATTTTCCAGGTAATCAGAGCTTCTTTAACCTTAGTTTAAACAAATAACTTCTTACCTCTCGTTTTAAGTGCTTTCTTTTACATTTACCGTGTTCTTGAAGCATGTCCTGCAAATTGCAGGGTATGGGAAAATCCCAGAATACGAGCACATATTCACCGATTTTCTCCTCAGCTTGGTGAAGCACAAGTAGAAACGAGAGATTCCTGCCACGACATGTAGTCGGGGGCAGCTCAAGTTTTGAAAAACATGGAACAACGCCACGCCACGCCACATCTCACTAAACGGCCTTCACAAGTGACCATCCACATTGCCGCAAATTCCAGAAGTTGGTCTGGGAAAATTTGCCAAGCAATCGCGTTCTTGTACTGCTGGCCAAGGGGATGCGCCTACAGAAGCAGGTCCCTCGCTCGAATTCGATTCTAAAGAACAATAAATCTTTTTTTTTTTTTTTTTTTTTTTTTTTTTTTTGGTTTTGTTTTTTATGTTTTGGAGTATATTCATTCTTTTCCCAGGGTTTGGGAAGGGTGGGTGTTGGGTGTTTTTATTGTCTTCATGGATGCTGTTTTGGTAGATGGATTCATGAAGGTGGATGGCCATGTAAAGTTCACTTTTACATCTGTACTGAAAGTACAAGTGGTTTAAAGCACCCTGCAAATTCCCTTTTCATGGTGGAATAAATGAGTATACATTCTTTATTTCATGTCACATTCTCTAGTTAAATCTGCAAATTAGTTTAAGTTTATTTAAATTTCATTCTAGTGAGTTTATAGTTTATTTTAATTTTGAACTATGAATAGGTTCTAAGTTTTATTTTTAGGTTCAAAAATTACAACTTTCATATAAGTTCAAATTTGACTTAGGGACAAGTGTAATTTTCCCTTTAATATACTCCGTATTGCCCAAAAAAATGATCTTTTATTAGTAATTTATTATGTAATGTGAATCATGATTTATAATATAATTTACTTCTATATTTATTGTGTAGGCTATGGTTCACATAGCTATGTGGATCATATTATCAAATAATGTACATTCAGTATACTTATAATGTGTTTTTAGTATATAAAAAATGTACATTGTATTATGTGAAAAAACACCAAGACTATATGGTCTAATGGTACTCTGATTGGATTTCCATTTGGAAGATTATGAGTTTGAGCCTCAGTGGAGGTGTTATTGGTTCTTTGTGTTTCAGTAGGTTGAGAAAGTATATGAACAGATATTACATTGTAATAGAGCCAGTAGCATTAAAAAAAAATGTGAAAAAACATTATTTGAGTACCGAAATACGTTATTTAGTACATGAATAAGGTATTTTTAGTGTATTCAAAATGTAATTTTTGTTTTGGTCCACATAGCACTATGTGGATCACAGTTCACAGTCTTCACACAATAGTTTGCAATAAGTGGACCAGGATCTAAATAGCATTGTGGATGGTAGATCCAAATGACATCGTTTGATATTTAAGTTTTAACAGAATCTCGTAGCTTCCACTTTTCATGTTTCAACACAAATTTAATTTATTCTATATACAGAATCTTTACGCTTAATGTACAGAATTACATAACATGATGTACAGAAACTCTTAACACGAGATACATACACATGTTTTTTATTTTACTTATTTTCAGATCTAATTTATGTAAATAATTTATATCCTATAAGTACATAATTTTATAATACAAGACATAAATTTGTAAAATAAGACACATAATATGTTTTATGTTATATAACTACTAATCAATTTCAGGAACAGAGCCTTTACGCTTAATGGTACAAAATTTCGTAACATAATGCATAGAAACATATAACACGATGTATAGAAATATGCTTTACTGTAAAAACATACTATGTAATGCAGACTGAAATATAAATAATCTCCGTTAAAATTAAAGTTTAAAATGACATCATATATGATGAGGGTCCAGAGTATAACGATTGATCATGATGTCGGTTTTTGTTTTGGACCCAAAAGGGCAATTTATATCCTACACCACTGCGCGCGTTGCAATATGCGCCTAGATGCAAAACGACGTCGTTTTAATTTATTTTTTTTTTGAAATTTCCCGTCCCAGTGAATGGCAGTAGTTTTTTCTTAAAAAAAAAACCGCTGTTCAAGAATGTACATAATGTTATACTAGAATACACATAATTGTATACATGAATGTACATAATTATATAACAAAATATACGTACTCTTTTTAAAAGATAATACACATAATCTAACATAATACATAATAAACATAAACTTTTAACATAATACACATCAACTATTAACATAATACACACAAATTTTCTGATTCGGATGTACATAATTGTATAAAAAGAATGTACATAATTGTATAAAAAATGTACATAACTGTATGAACCAATACACATAACTGTATGAACAAATACATATAACTGTGTGAACAAATACACATAATCCCAGCAACTTCCTACCGCGCCTCCCAAAACGACGTCGTTTTGGGAGGCGCACGGCGCACAGTGCTATGTGCGCCGCGGTGTAGGGTATAACGATTGACCCAAAAGAGGGATTAAATTTCTAAAAGTGTTTTTTATTTTTTATTTTTTTGGATTGGGCTAAGATAGTTTCAAGAAAAGCCCAAAATAGGGCCTATTTTTTTGGATTGGGCTAATATTTGTTTCTTATTTGATATTGAATGATAATTAATTGGAAAATTAATTAATTATTTTTTAAAATACTTATGATTCTTTATAAGATGTTTTTTCAAATATTTTTAACCGGAATTCCAACATATAGTCACTCATTTGAAATGGTAAATAGGATACCATCAACCTATCACACTACATCATAGTTGATTTATTTAATTTTTTATTTTTATTTTTTGAAAAAAAAAACCCTAAATAAACCAACTATGATGTAGTTTGTAATTCAATAAACATTAAAAAGAATTAAATTCCTGCGCATTAATCGGAGCATAAGTGTCGGTTTGTGGGATTTTAGAAATAAAGAATAGAGTATATTTTAGTTGTAATCATAAAATCTAGCTAAAGACCTTATAATCAAGCGATATGGAGTGATTCTCTTAAGCGAGGTCATAAGTTTGAGTCTTAGTAAAGTCAATATTGACTCGTTGATATCTTCAGTAGGTCAGAGTCAATAGTACTCAAAAAATATTTAGTTTTTTATTTATTTAATTTTTTTTAATACCTTTCGCCCTCCGGCTAGAAATATATGATGATACATATTATTGACATCAAAAGTAAATTAAAGAATAATTTTTTTGAACGATATTACTAATTAAAACTAAACTCAGAAATTACGGGTTGGTTTAGAAACATGAAAAATGACTTCTAAAAATTATTTTTTTTGTGTTTGGGTATTTAAGAAAAATAAAGTCAAAGAAAAATATTTATTCTAATCAAAGAGAAAATGTTCTATTTGATAGAAAACATCTTCTTAGATTTTGTTGGAAGATATTTTTTAAATTCTTTATTTTCCTGTATTTATTTTCTCTCTGTCTCTTTTAAAGTTAGTTTTCGAATTATTATTGATGGTTTTTGGGTTTTCGGGCCCAAGGAGGTCCAACACAACATTTGGCTGGAGAATACACCTTTCAATAAAATGTATGCCTATATTGGAAATAATGCTAGTGCTCAGAATCTCTTCGGTATTCTTCCCTCTCCGGGTATTCAATCGTCTCTCCATTTTACAAGAGCGGAGGAGCCTTTATATAGCGGCTCCTCCTCTACCGACTTGAAGGCCCTTAATGGCCGACTTCAAGACTAATTAAGATATGGAGCCGTTGGACGCCATTACTCGGTCGGCCAACGGCTCTTCCAGGCTTGTAACGGCCTGACCGAGTCCTGCTTTCAATGCTCTAACGGCTCACTTTTAAACAAGCTTCTTCAATGCTCTCAACGGCTCCTTGAACCGAGTCTTTCCCTGGGCTTGGGCCTCGGTCGACTCCTCGTCTCGGCCTAAGCTCCCACTGGGCTCCTCTTTAGCAGCTCTGAATCGGGCCCCGTGCTTGGGCCTGGGTCGACTCCAGGACTCGGCCCAATTGCTCTTCGGGCTCCTCTCGACGCTGGCCCACTTCTCCTATCTCGAGCCATTTTCTTTGGGCCCCTATCTCTTGGGCCGGGGTCCTTACCCCATCAACTAGTCCCTCACTTTTTCATACCCGGTCCGCTAGCCTGGGTTTGGAAAAGTAGCAACTGTCCATCTCCTTCAATCACCGTATACATGCCCTGAATAGCCTTTTGTAACGTCCGGATCATCAGCCATTCTCTCCGGATCTCGCGGGGCCGTTTGGATTCTTCTGTCTAGACTTGGCACCTATAAATGGCCTCATCCCTTCTTTCTTTCTTTCACAAGTCCATCATGGGTCGTTCTCCTCTGAAAGGAAAACGAATTGACTTTGGGTCTCCTTGGCGTCCGCTGCCTTCCAAGTGGACTTGGCCTGAAAGGGAACACAAAAAGAAGACTCCTCGCCCGGCTTCTCAGAGGTCTCCTGCCGGCGCTACTCCTTCAGCTTCTCAGCCGCCGACTCCTCCTCGACGTGAGGTCGCTCCATCTTCACGCCATCCGCCTACTCCCACAACTGCCCGAGTGACTTCTCAAGACGGGTCCTTCGTTGAGGTGGCGGTTCCAGAGCAACTTACTTTCAGAATGACCTTCTCAATCCCGCTGGACGACCTGGATGGGCCAGTTACGGGCCTAATGAATGATGAGGATTACGCCCGCTACCTGGAGGCGTATCCGGATGATGAGGAGCCAATTGCGCCACCACTCATGCCAGCTTTCTGGGACTCGTTCTGTCCATCCCCACCTGGACCACCGGGGGGATTCTTTGGGGGCGACTCTTCCTCGCCCGGCGAGTGATCATATGTACCGGAGTCGGCCATAGTTCGGAGGAATCTTTTTTAGGAGCATTTTTATATTCCTTATTGTAATAAGCTCCTTGGTGACAGAATAAAAAGAAGAGGAACGAGAGGCAACGAAAACTACCTACGGTGGCCGCACCCTCCGGCAGCAAGCCACGCTTAGCCATGGCCCGGACTCGGGACCAGTACTTGACGGAGTACGGCCCAAAGCCCTTCAAGAACTCGCCACCCTGGACCGCATCGTTGGTAGGGACGGCACGCCGAGAGCAAGGCTTGAATAGAGCGGCCGGCCACAAGGTCGGAAAAGTGAAGGAAGAGAAAGCACGCCGGACAAAGAAATAGAGGAGCTTCCAGTCCTTAATGGAGTCGGACAATCCCTCGAAAAGCTGTCGCCCCGGGCGAGCGGCAACTTGAACGAAGCCCGGCGAGTGCGAGCCGACCTTGTTCATGGTAAAAAGATACCGGAACAGGTCTAGATCCGGCTCGCACAACCACCAGTGGCAAAGGTTGACGAAGCAGGTGAGGAGTCGGTGAGAATTGGGCACTAATTGGCCCGGAACTAAGTTGTAATGGCGATAAAAAAGAGAATGGAAAGAGAGACGAAGTGGCTATTTAAAGGTGGAGGAATTCCAAAGGACGGCCACGTGCCACCTTCTCGTTGGAGGAAGTGGAGGTGACGGGATGTGAAGGGACGCCGCATTTAATGCCTCAAAAGGCGGGGCGACGGTTCAGGCCTAGGGTTAGCCTGCACACGGCGCGTCTGTCCTAGGCTAGGGTCGGACGTAGTGACCCGACCTGCTAAGCCGGAAGCCCATCGTAGGCCATGGCCTCTGGGCCCACGAGGTACGAGCTA